TAGTGATCGCGAGCATTTCCTCATGTGTCTGTTGGCCATTTGAATGTCTTCTTTGGTGAAGTGTCTGTTCATTTCCTTTGCCCATTTTTTAATATAATTTTTTTTTAATTAAAGTTTTTTTATAGGAGAAAAAGACAAATCAACAATCAGAGGTGGAGATTTGAATACAAATTTCTCCTAAATTTATAGAACAGGCAAAAAATCAGTGAGGATATAGAAGATTTGAAGAACATGAATAACACATTGACCTAATGAAAATATATAAAACACTGCACCTAATAACTGCAGAATACCTACCTTTAAATGTTTTTTAAGAACACACAGAGTGTTTTCAAAAATTGACCATGTACTGGGAAATAAAATGTCTCAACCAGTTTAAAAGGATTGTAATTATATAATGTTCTCTGTAATGAGAGAATGTTCTCTGACTATATTTCAAATGTTAGAAATTAATAACAAAAACATAATTACTTTTAAACCCTTGAATCAAAAAGTAAACATAATGGAACTTAGAAAATATTTTGAACTGAATGCTAACAAAAATACTACATAATAAAACTTGTGGAATACATTTTGCAAAGGAGTACTTAGTAGTAAAGTATAGTCTTAAATGTATAAGAAAGGCTAAAAATTAATTAGCCAAGTATTCATCTTAAGAAGATAGCAAAATAACCCTAGAGAAAATATAAAGAAGTGAATAGTAAGGAAAAGAGCATAAATGAGTGATGTAGAGAAAACTAATACAGGATCAAAAAAGTGAATGTTGGTTCTTTGAAAGGACTAATAAAGTTGACTAATTAAGACTGATAAGAAAAACAGAGAGGACTGAGATAATAAGAAAGCATCACTATAGCTCCCACAGACATCAAAATGGTATTGAGGATATTATGAACAATTTTTTGCTAATTAATTTTAAAAATTAGATAAAATGGACAGATTTCTAGGAGAAAGTAGAACTTAACCAAAACGGATTCAAATAGAAAACCTGAATATTCCTGTAACTATTAAAGAGATTGAATCAGTGATCAAAACAAAATTGTCCCACAAAGAAAATTCCAGAAACAGATGGCTTCATCAGTGATTTCTACCAAATATTCAATGAATAAATTATCCCAATCTTTTATACAGTTTTTCAGAGAACAGAGAAGAGGGAACTCTCTCAACTCATTTTATGAGACTAACATAACCTTGATTCCCAAACCTGAAAAAGGAGTAGAAGAAGGAAAGTTACAGGCCAGTCTCAACAACCTGAATTCATCAGTGGACAAAAAAGTTAACACATCATGACCAAGTTGGTTTTATTCCAAAAATGCAAGGTTAGTTTAACCTTAGGAAAACCTGTCACCATAATTCACTACATTATCCTAATGAAAGAAAAAAAAATCCTGTAGTCTCAATAGATGCAGAAAAGCAGTTGATAAAATGACACATTTATTCACGACAAAAATATTGACAAACTAGGAACAGAGGGAAATTCCTTATCTGATTAAAAGGTATCTTAAAATAACCACAGCAAATATCATACTTAAAGATGAAATGTTAACAGCTTTTCTTTGAGATAAAGTACAAGACAAGGATGCTTATCATCACCCTTTCTAGTCAACGTGGTACTGGAAGCCCTAGCTATTGCAGTAGAGCAAGAGAAAGAGAGATACAGGATTGGAAAAGAAAAAGAAACAGAACTGTCATTTGTAGATGATATGTGCATAGAAAATTCAAAAGAATATTCTGAATAGAGTTTAACTGGTTATAAAATCAATATATAAAAAATAATTATATCTTTGCATCTGCCACAGATAGTCAGAAAACAAATTTTTTTTAAAAAGATGCCATTTACAATAGCATAAAAAAATAAATTACTAGGAATAAATCTAACAAAAGATGTATAGTAATTGTGAGAAAAGAATAAAACTTTATTGATAGACATAAAACAAGACTTAAATGAAGAAACATACCATTTACTTTGTGTTCTGGTAGTCACTGTTTTGTAAAGATGTCAGTTGTTCCGAAACTGATTTACAGAATCAATGCAATCCCAGCCAAAATCCCAACCATTTAGTTACTTATTTTTTGTGCCAAGTGGGTGGAAGACTGGAACTTTACAAACTCATTCTGAAATTCATACGGAAGGACAAAGAAGAGAGCAAGAATAGCCAAGATACTCTTGAACAAAACTGTCGGTGGGGAAGGGCTTATCAAGAATTATTATAAAGCTAAATGTATTAGGACAGAGAGGTGTTAGTGTAGGGCAGACAGAGACCACTAGGATGGAATTGAGAGCCCCAAGCAGACCCACGCTTATATAGAAACTTGATTTTGACAGAGGTGGCACTGCAGAGCAGTGAATAAATGATAGTCTTTTCAATAAATGTTGCTAAGACATATCCATATGGGGAGAAAAAAAAGAAACTGGACCCCTACCTTATACCATACAAAAACACAACTCCAGGTTGATCACTGACATAAATGTGAAAGACAAAAGTATAAAGTGATTGAAAAATACCTCAGAGTACAGAATAGTTTCTCAAACAAGACACAAAAGCATTAACTGTAATGGTAAAAATTGACAGATTTGATTAACTAAAAAAATTTATTCATCAAAAGTAATTGTTAAGACAATGAAAAGACAAGCCACAGAATGGGAGATAACTGCAACACATGTGACTGATAGAGGGCTTAAGTGCACACCTTCTAGAGAAATCTTAGAAATCAGAAGAAGGTAGATAATCCAGTTAAAAATGAATGAAATACTTGAATGGGCACTTACAAAAGAGACTCTTCAAATGGCCAATAAACATACAAAAAGGTACACAATCTTTTTAGTAACCAGGGAAATGCAAAGTAAGACCACAGTGAGATGATATTACCCGTCTTCTAGATTGGCAAACATGGTGAAAATATACTGAAAGACAGAAGAGAATTCTAAATAGTGAAACGTGTTTGTGGATGGAAAAGACCTGGTATCATAAAACTGCCAGTTCTCCCCAACATAATTTATCAATAGAATGCAATCCAAATTAAAATCCCAGCCAAATTCTTTATGGAACTCACCAAGCTGATTTCTAAGTTCGTGTGAAAGAAAAAATGTACATAGGTGGTTGTAAAAATGGTGTAGAGACAGTGGTTTGAACCCACCCAATAGCTCCACAGGAAAAAGACCTGGCAATCTGCTCCTGTAAAGATTACAGCCTAGAAAACCTTATGGGGCAGTTCAGCTGTGTCACACAACTCTGCAGCACCCCACAGTAAAAACAACAATATCTTTGTTAAAATTCTGCCTTCTGAAAGGATTCATTCCTCTCAAAATAATTTTCTGGAATTGAATATTTTCTGCTGTTTACTAAAGTGTGTATTTATGCTCTTAATTATAGGAAGAGTATCCAGACCAAAATCCAATCATTAAGAAAATGCAGTCTCTCCAAATTGATTGTGTAGCACTACCTCCAAGCAGGTCAAACTCAGGTAACTTACCCTGTGATCTAAAATCTGTTTATTCATCTATTCATTTGCTCATTCATTTACTCTCTAAAATACTATTCAAGACCACATGGAAAACAGAAAAAACTATTAAAACTTAACACCTGTCTTAGAGGAGTTCATAATATTTTGGAGTACCTAAATATATATATTTGAAATATTGTCACATTGTATTCACCAAAATCCCAGAGTGTACTGGACATAAGAGGCCTAGTGTATCTGGTAGGGAGAAAGCGATGTGGGAGCTAAGTCCTTGAGGAGGTCGGGGTGGCTGATCCAGGGTACAGGTAGAGAGGTTGATCTCAGATTCAAGCAGGGATACTTTTTTTCATTATAATAAAAGGGAAGGCAGAGTATAGGATATTGAGGCCACTTATTAGCTACTTGACCTGGGGCAAATTACTTAACCTCTTATAAACCTCATCAATCAATTAGTGATATTAATTGGAACCCACTCTTATAGGTTTTTTTTTTTTTTTAGTTTTATTGTGGTAAAATATACATAACAAAAAAGTTGCCATTTAACCATTTTTAAGTGTACAATTCAGTGACATTAATTATATGCACTGTGTTGTGCAACCCTCACTGCTATTTATATTTCCAAAAGTTTTTCATTACCCCAGACAGAAACTCAGTTCCCCTTAAGTAGTAACTCCCAGTTTCCCCCTCTTCCAGCCCCTGTAACCACTAATAAACTTTGGTCTCTATGCATTTGCCTATTCTAGATATTTCATGTAAGTGGGATCATACAATATTTCCTTTTGTGTCTGACTTATTTCACTCAGCATAATGTTTTTAAGGTTCATCCATGTTGTAGCATGTATCAGAACTTCACTTCTCTTTATAACTGAATATTCCCATAGTATGTGTGTACCACATTTTGTTTATCCATTATCTGTTAATGGATACTTGGGTTGTTTCCACGTTTTGGCTATTGTGAATAATGCTGTGATGAACATTGGTGTACAAGTATCTGTGTGAGTCCCTACTTTCAGTTCTTTTGGGTATACACCTAGGAGTGGAATTGCTGGGTCGGTCATATAATAATTTTATTTTTAACTTTTTGAGCAACTGCCAAACTGTTTTCCACAATGGCCATACCATTTTACATTCCCATTATAGCGTTTTTAAAGAATAAAGAATCTATGGAAAGTGCTTAGAGCTGTTACTATTTATATTTTCTAACCCAAATCACACCAAGGAGGTAACCACCTTCTCTGCTCCAACATAAGTCCCTTTCTTCCTTGGTCACTCCTGCAACATCCAGTTTTCTGTGGCTTGTTGTAATTTCCCTAGTGCTCTGTCTCTGTCAGGCAGGGGCTCTTGCTGATTACCTGTATGACCCCTAGGAAGACGACCATCTAGTAAATGCTTTTTGTTGTTTTCAAGGTTATCAGTATATTACTCTGAGGTACAGATTCATGATGCTGTTCAGATTTTACTTTACTTTTTAATGTTTCATGAAGCTCATTCCAATGTTGATCATTTCTTCTCAGCCACAGAGCAGCCCAGTTCACTGCATAGTTCACAGGGGCTCAGAATGGGTCCCATAGAGGAGTCCTGGTTTGGTCCCTCGTCAGAGTACCAGCAAGAGGAGAATCAGCCCAGTCTGCAGAGTAAACTCCAGGAGGAAGCCAACTACCATCTTTTTGGCAGCCGAATGGACAGGAAGGAAAAATGGCAGCCCAGACAGAATGTGGCTTATAACAGAGAGGAGGAAAGGAAACGAAGGGTCTCCCATGACCCCTTTGCACAGCAGAGACCTTACGAGAATACTCAGAACCCAGGAGTAAAAGGCCTTGCTTATCCCACTGCAACCAGTCACACTGATGTATTTCCACAACTATCAGGGCTAACCAGCCAACCCCAAGTACCATACTGGAACAACGGGTTATATAACAGTCCACATGGTTCGGGAGCAAGACCGCTGGATCCAGGAATAGCAGGTCCAAGACCTTGGTATGGGCCAAATCCTAGTCATATGCCTAGCCTGCATAAAACTCCAGTGCCTGAGACCAGCCTACTGGTAAACACACCAACCATTCCATTCATCTCCTTCCCATCAACAGGTAAACAGGCCTTTAACAGTCACAATCCTACCCTTTTTTTTATTTTCTGAAAATAAAGCAGCCATTAGCTTTGTTGTAGTTGATATGATGGGGACAAGTGGCGAATTTTCCAAAGCCTTCAGCTGCCAGATGCAACTTGCTACCATGGAATGGTTTTCATCAGACCACTCAGCCTGGGCGTATTTCAGTATTGGTGTCGGATTCATCATAATTGCCGACAAGTATTGGGTTACATGTGCTTTTAACTGGTAGGCATTTTCCACTATAATCTGAATTAAACATTAGTCCCATCAGGCCCAATCTCTGATGAATGGGAAGATACTTGCTTATATTCTTTTATCTTGCTTGCTGTTTTCTGAAAGTAAAAAATAAGTCTTAGATATTATTTCTTATATAGGCCAAAGACTACCACTTGTGTTGAAAAATTCTCTTAAAATTCCCTTATTTCTAGGGTAAAAGTAAATGCTAGTTGACAGTAGTTACTAACAGTCTACAGTGGAAGTGATGTTAATATCCAGCATCATCATCAATATGTCCCAATACCACCTGACTACATGAATGGCATCTATCAATGTTACCCTTACTGTGTGCTGGGAATTCTGAAATCAGCTTAGTTAGAGATAGCATGAAAAGCACAGAGCTGAGTCTTTTTAAAAGGCCAAATTCCCCTAAAACTTTCTATGTAAGCATTCTGGAATTTTTTTCCACAAGTTTTATTATAAGATCTATTGAACGCAAAATATTAAATTAGGCATTAAACAGAATCTAAGTCATACATAATCATACGGGTAAAAAGTCCTTCTATTTGTGTTGTGTCTGGGAATAAAATTTTTCATTAGTGTCACCATATTTTATTCATTCATGATTAATTCAATAAAAACTTCTAAAGCACTTACTTTGTAAACCAGGCAGTTTTCTAGGCACTGGGGATATAATAATGAACAAACAGCCCAAGCCCCTCCTGCATGGAGCTTAAATCCTTGTATGTGTGCATGCGTGCATTTCTTACATTTTTCGGTAAAGGGGGTCCAGTTTCCGTAGCTTCATCAGAGAAAATGCAACAGTGTGCATAGTGACTGATCCAACTGGACTGCCTATTTTAAGGACAAGCTATGAGTCAGAATTGACTCGATGGCAACAGGTCAGGTGCTGACTTAGATGCCTAGACCTAGATTTCATTTACCTCTCTCCTCAGACCTGTCTTCTACCTTCTCTCTCATACAAAGACCTGCTAAATGTTCTTAATAACAATAAACTTTGACAACTTCAATTTAGCATGAATATCACTGAACACATGCCATATACAAAGTCCTGTGTTATAGAGGAAGTGTAAGGAGTACACACATGAATGAACATGGTGTCTGTCCTCTAAAAACTCATACACTAGTAGAGAAGTAAACCGTACAAACTGATCCAGAGCAGCCTGTGACAGAGTGCAAGATCTCTGATTACAGCGGAGGCTGGTTGAAGGAGGCAGAATTTGAGCTAGGCCTCTGCAGAAACTCCTAAGCAGATATGGGGAGAAAGGCAGGCCAGGCAGAGCGAACATCTTGAGCAAAGGCAGGGTCATCATATTAATGGGTCAGTAGGAAACCTGGTGCGACGGAAGTATCTAGATTGGAGAGAGTAAGTGGATAGTGAAAGGTCAGAGAGAGATTTGGGTAAAACTGGCTGGCTTTGAGTACTGAACTGAGAGGTTTGGGTTTATTGTGTGAAGGAAGACACTAACCACACATTTGAGTAGGGGATCCTGCTGGGAAGTGTACCTGAGCCTTGTGTTCTTCATCTACCACAGTTTTCTGACTGGTAGCAGCCACATTTTAAAGAACATCTCAAGGGGTAGCATAGGATAAAGAAGTTAACTTAAACGTTTATCTTAAGCCCTTTACTGTACTATTTTTTTCCTCGTTTTCAATCTAGATGTACTCACTTGTGTTTCTCTCTACTTAGACGAGTCTTTCAGATACAACATTTACAATAGCACTGGCGTTCAGATTGGAAACTACAATTACATGGAGGTTGGCAGGATGAGTGTACCACCACAGGACAGCACAAATACGAACTTCAAAGAAGAGCCAGCATCGAAATACCAAGAAATCTTTGGTAAGATGCCCTTGAAAGACCCATTGTCTGGTGACCTTGAACTTTCTTACTAACAGGTTTATAGTGGAATCCCAAAATTTCTCTGATCATTCTTCTAAAAGTAGTCCCAGGTTTCCTCTGTAAAAATCTCTGTAATTTCCTTGTTTATAATATGAGGATAATAGCAGTATCTGATTCATAAATTTATTGTGAAAATTAAGTGAGTCAATATGTATAAAGTGCTTAGAACACTGCGTGGTACATAGTAAGTTCTATGAAATATTAAACTATTATCATCATCAATATTACTACTCAGACCTGGGAGAAATAGCTCCCTTACGTCCTCATCAAAGGGGATTCTGTAGAAGATAGAAGACTATCCCCTCAACAGCACCTCTGTAATAAAAACAAGAGGGCTGTTTCTCATAGGGTCCCACTATACAGGCCAATAGCATTAATACCAAAGCACAATCTAGGAAAAGCAGTCATGAGTCCTAAACAATAGGATTTAAGAACTCAGCTTTCTTCTTCTTCTTTTTTTTTTTTTTAATAATTTTTTGTTGTTGAGAATATCCACAGCAGGACATACACCAATTCACCCATTTTCTACATGTACAATTCAGTGACATTGATTACATTCTTCGAATTGTGCAACCATTCTCACCCTCATTTTCTGAGTTGTTCCTCCCCCACTAACATAAACTCACTGTCCCCTAAGGTTCCTATCTAATCTTTTAATTTGCTGTTGTCAGATTGATCCCATGTAGGTAGATCTTGAAAGAACATAATGCTCAAGGCAGACATTCTTTACTAGCTAAGCTAAACTATTGTTTGGTTTTTTAAGAAGACGTCAGGGGATATTTTTGGTGTAAGGTTCAAAGATTATTTCAGGGCAGTAGTTTCAGGGGTTCATCCAGCCCCCATGATGCTAGAAAGTCTGGAGTCCATGAGAATTTGAAATTCTAAGAACCCAGCTTTCTGATTAACTCAGGGATTGACAAAAATTTTCTATAAAGGGCCAGATAGTAAATATTTTATGCTTTGTGGGCCCTAAAGTTTCTGTCACAATTACTCAGCTCTTATCAATATAGTACAGAAGCAGTGTGTAATGAATAGGCATGGCTGTGTTTCAGTAAAACTTTATTTATAAAAACAAGCAGCTTTGGCCACAGCCATAGTTTGCCGACCCCTATTCTAACCCATTTGATGGGTAGCATTTAAAATACCTACAGCAGAGGTTCCTAACTTTGGGGGAGACAAGGGCACCTTTGAGAATCTGATGAAACCCCAGGTCGCTTTCCTAGAAAGGTATTGACAAAATTTGACAGATATCTCCAGAGGTTCTTGAAATGCTGACATCCAATGGTGGGGACAGAAAAGGAAAGAATGAGAGTTGCAGAAAAAAATGAGATGTCTTTTTTTCTTATATTCACCTTACTGAGGTAGGATCAGGATCAAAGAATATGGTTTGTTTTTGGTGGTGGTTTTATACTTTTGTTTCTTTTTATTAGTTATTTTTATGAAAGGCCAAGGGGAAGAGACCAGTAGAAAGAGAGGTTATGATTATAGGAGAAAGAAGGGACAGCAGTTGTGGGAAGTGGGGGGTGTCCCAAAACAGACCTTAAAGAGTGTAGATACCTCATCCCTTGAAAGACAAGAGACAGCATTGTAATTGATAGAGTAAAACATTTAATTTTCAGTGTTGACACTACAATATATAAAACAGCTATTATAAATGCACATAGTGTATTCTATAGCTGCCACATTTACTTTTTTTTTTTTTTTTAAAGGAATCTGTAAGCTACACTGTGGTTAAGACTTATATCTTCACCCTTGAAAAAGCCCACGTTCTATCACAGTGATGTATGGTCAGACTTAACAGCCCCAATTGTGAAACACTTGGATCAAGTCATAACCAGTTTTATTGCAAAAGGACCTTGTATGCATTTATTTATCAATTCTAGTACCTTAATAGCTACCCAACAAGTCATTAACATACAGAAACATGCATCATGATGGTCTGAATTTCCTTGATTAAATCATAAGAAAGTGAACTGTTGAGTAAGGGGCATCAGGATCTGGGTTGCCTTGACTCTGGCCAGATGTAAATGGAAAATGCCCAAAAGGAACAAAAACAGTATTTTTTCCCTTTACATCCAGGAAAGTCTAATATAAACAGGCTGCTGGTTCAAGTTGTATGGAACACCCAACCTAGTAGCCAAGTAGGGGTTCTGTTCACAATGCTATCAGCCATGGCTTAGGGCTGCATCTACTGGGAGGAAGGAGTACCCTATTCTAGTTCACACAAAGGTGCTATGTGGGCTAGCAGGCATGTAAAGTATCAAATCCAATGAATAAACAAGTATATAACTAAGAAGTTATCTTTTTCACTTTCTGCTGGTATTCTTCACTGTACTTGTTTTTTTCAGCAATTCAGGAACCTAGAATTTTCAAATGGGTTATAGCTTGATACCTTCTCTTTTCCATTTGGCAGATAATATCACCAGTCTGACTGATAAACACCTGGACCCAGTCAGGGAAAATCTGGGAAGGCACTGGAAAAAATGTGCCCGTAAGCTGGGCTTCACTGAACCTCAGATTGATGAAATTGACCATGACTATGAGCGAGATGGACTAAAAGAGAAGGTTTACCAGATGCTCCAAAAGTGGCTGATGAGGGAGGGCAATAAGGGGGCTACAGTGGGAAAGCTGGCATATGCACTCTACCAGTGTTCACGAACAGACCTTCTGAACTATTTGGTACGTGTCAGCCAGAACTAACCCTGTAAGAGGCTTTGGCAGCATGACGTAAACCTCCTCACTTGGTGTGATGGTTAAGGTTATGTGTCAACTTGGCTAGGCCATGGATTCTCAGTGGTTTGGCAGATATTACATAATCATCCTCCATTTTGTGATCTGATGTGAGCAGCCAATTAGCTGAAAGGGTAGTTTCCTTGGGGGTATGGGCCTGCATTCAATATATATATGAATGTTCAGGCAAAGCTTGCCCTCTCTGGATCCTGCATCCAACCCGTCATCCTCTGACCTCCAGTTCTTGGTACGTGAGCCAGCAGCCTGCCATCTGACCTGCAGATTTTTGGATTCCCCAGCTCCCGCAGCCCCATGAGCCAGAAGAAGCCTCCAGCCTGACACCTGACCCATGGATTTGGGACTTGCCAGCCTCCACAACTGCGTGAGCCACTTCCTTGAAATAAATCTCTCTGTATATATATTTATATATATATGCTTTCCTGATTTCGCGTCTCCAGAGAACCCAGACTAAGACACTTGGTGAGTAACCCAGTGGAAAGTGTACTGCCTCAGAGAGTTCTTAATTCTTTCCTCACAGACATAGGTTCTGGGTCTGCATAACAATCATTTACTGCATTTCATAGCTGGAGAATAGGAAAAGAAATCTGCAGCAAACAACCCACCTTTAGGAAAATGTAAGCAGAAGACCAATTAATGTCCTAGGACCAATGAAAAAGGGAGCCTCATAGGGTTTTGAAATGGAGAGAGAGACATTTGAGGAAGATCATTTTGCTTCAGTTCATGCCATAACCTTCAATTATGCGATTCATTCCATTTCCTGGAGTTTTGTTTGAGCAAGAAAAAAATTCAGAGAATGTGAAATAAATCAACTTTCTTATTTTATGTTCTCTTCTCCACATAGGCTCTTGCCATAACCAAAGTGCAGTAAAATGCTATGTTCTCTCCAGGTAGATTTTTTGTATCACAACCAGTTCATCTCAGAAACATAGTTAACTTCTGTATCCAATAAGTGTATTATCTGTTACTACATGTTTCAAGAATAATATGCACATCTCCACTCCTTAAATTAAGGGATTTTAGGGAGTACAAAGAAGGGGGAAAGAAAAAGCATCAGAATCTCCCAGACACTTGTGAGGAACCGCTACTCATTGTTACTACTACAAAAACTCTTGATTAATTTTTAAAGTTCTTTCCTAACATTCTGGTATTTTATGCAGTTTCCCAACCTGTGTGCCCTGAAGAGGGGACAGGTGTGCAGGGAATATTGGCCTCTTCGTTCTGGGGTAGGCCTGGAGCCTCACACTGATCACTGTTGAGCAGCCTCCTCAGTTGACCCCAGTATATGGAGAAATATTTTCACTTTTTCTGTGTGCCCTGATGTGAAAAAGGACAGCTTCAGAGTCTGGAAATTGTGCCTCTGGCACACAGCCTTTCAAAACCCACATGAAGTCTCAGAGGGAATGGAGGCACTAGAAGACTGAATCGGACCGGCCATCTGGCCTCACTGCTAGCACTTCACTAAACAAGAGTGATGTGCAGTCAAGTTAAGCCCTGCCGGGAGGCGGGAAGAACACAGGTGAGGATCAGTCCATCTGTCAGAATCCCAGTGTGTCATGGGTTGATAACAGTATTGTTAGTGCTTCTGATTCTAAAGCCACCCCAGCTCAGCAGTGTGCACACACACTCCAGTGTGGCTGTAGAGCAGGGCTGCTGAACCTCAGCACTTTCGACATCCAGGGCCAGATAATTCTTTGGGGTGTTTGGGGGGGTGTGGAAGTCCTGTGCACTGTAGGACTTTTGGAAGCATCCCTAGTTTCTACACACCAGATGCCAGTAGGCCCCCCGTCCCCCTTCCTCCTTGTGAGAAAAATGTCTCTAAAAAAAAAACCGGATGCTGTCCAGTTTATTCTGACTCATAGCGACCCTATAGGACAGAGTAGAACTGCCCCATAGAGTTTCCAAGGAGTGGCTGGTAGATTCGAACTGCGGACCTTTTGGTTAGCAGCTGAGCTCTTAACCACTACGCCACCAGGGCTCCAAAAATGTCTCTGCATGTTGCCAAATGTCCCCTGGAAGGGCACAGTCACCCAGGTTGAGAACACTGCTGTGAAGTACTAAGCCTTATTTCTCCTGTCTACACCAGACCCAGGAAGCCTTGGGAACATACAGTGGTTAAGAGCTCAGCTGCTAACTGAACCCACCAGCCACTCTGAGGGAGAAAAGACCTGGTAATCTGCTCCTGTAAAGATTTCAGCCTAGGAAACCCTATGGGGCAGTTCTGCTCTGTCCTATAAGGTGGCTATGAGTCGGAATTGACTCAGCACACAAAACGCAGTCTCACTGCTTAGCAGCCATACAGCATTATTAGATCATGTATACCAAAAGGAAAATTGGAGGGGGAATGGTCCCAGGCTTTGCTAGAAGGGCCTTGATTGTTTTCCTAAATGTATGCCTTGTACTTCCCTCCTAATGGTTTTCTAAATTCTCTAAATTCCAAAGAGGTTTGAATGATGAATGTTAAGTAGCAAAAATGAAAGGATTTTTAATGGATTTTTAAAATAAAATGTTATACCTGAAACATGTTGTGAGGTGCTGTCAAGTCAGTTCCAACTCATAGTGACGCTATGTACAACAGAATGAAACACTGCCTGGTCCGGTGCCATCCTCGAAATCGTTGCTATGTTTGAGCCCACTGTTGCAGCCACTATGTCATTTCATCTCGTTGAAGGTCACTGAAATGTGTATGTTTGTATAAATGAAATTGAGATTCTCTGGTGACTCTATCGCTTAGGCTGGCATTTCCTGTATAAACTCCCCTTTTCACCCCATTGCTAGTATCAGGAGAGCAGAAGCTGATGGAGAAGAGAGAAGCTCCTGAACAGGCACATTTTGGCCCTCAGGACGACCACTCACTGCCCAAGAAGCTCCAGCACTGCTGTTCTTCAGCCATGGCTCAGAGATCTTTCCTTCCTCCATTCTCTGAACACTGGCTGAAAAGAGCCAGATTTGCCTCTAAGGACAGATAACACTGCCCAAGCACCACAAAAAACAATACTATTTTTGGGCAGAAACCAATTCAGCAAGAAGGCGTAGACTAGAAAGTGAGGAAGAAGGCTATCCATGTTTGGTTCCAAATAAAGATATTCAAACAATGAGGTTATTATTGATAAAGACTCACTTCCAGTTCTCACAGTCTTGCTATTCAATTTTCCACTTGTTGCTATATGATCATAATCTTTGCTCTGGGTCCATAATGTGAAGTTAGGACTTCAAGAATAAGGAAGGTTCTTCCTTAAAAAATGATTTATATGATGTTTTGATGTACATTTTAAAGTGTGTTACTTATAAACATTTTTCTAGTAATAGTGTAAATAAAAAAATGTTTAAGATTTTAGAAGCATCTGATTACAAAGAAATCATTGAAGGGCTAGTGCTACTACAGTGAATGATACAATGCGTAATAATCAAGTACAGGGTTCTGAAATCAAGCAGGTTTAAGTTCCCCTGTGCCACTTTCTAGCTGTGTGACCTAGACTTGCTTCCTAACCTTTTAGCGTGTGTGCTCATCTGCCAGTGGGGAGGACAGCATTACATAAGGTTGATGTGATGATTAAAATCAGATAATGCATTCTGAGGTACCTGACCCAAAAATGGTAATTATTTTTCAAATTGCACAATAAATCATGTTTTATATATAAGGCACTGGTTCTCAAGTTGGTACTTAGAAATAAACCAATAACCCAAAAACTCACAGTGCTGACATTTTTGTATAGCAGTAAGATAACGTGTTGAAATTGTACCAACAACTTATTTTTAACCATCATCTCTGTCAGGAAATCCCAATCAACATTTCAGGAAAAATAAAGGAGATGCTGACTCTACCAACATTTCTGAAAATCAAATTATATGAAAACCAGCTGAGACATATACATTTCTCTTTCCTTCTGTATGATAAATTTGTCTAAAGTAAAATATAAACATTTTTGCATATTCCATTATGTAGGCCAAACTTACCTTGCCTCCTCAAGAAACTCCAGTGGGCCAGTGAGGACTCTCAAGTTAATGGAAGTTTTTGTGGCGGTGTCACTTGAAAGTACTGTGGGTATAGGACTGTTACACTGGAAGGTCTCTTGGAGCAATAATGTAATACGCAAGGAAGCTGTCATCTGCAATCAAGCCAAGACTACCAGAGTAGCGAGAATCTGCCGGTTATTCCTCGTTAAGCTAGGGCAGAATGGTAGAATTGAAGGGAGAGTTGTTTTTTCTGCACCGAGCCTTAAACTATAGATAATGGTTATAAGGCTTATATAGTCTGGAGAATTAAAAAATCCCGTCATCCCTAAAAGCAGATAGGTTTTTTTCCGTTGTCATTAAATGGCCATGAAAACTCAGGTCTCCTGGTGCAGCCTTCAAGCCTGCGGAGCTGCCTGTGGAGGGGGCGGGCCTGACGGGGAGGTTCCTCGAGGCAGAGGTGGATTCTGAGAACGCCAGGCAGTTGGCGCGCAGTGCCGGCGTGGGCAACCGCGGCCGGCGGGACTACGGTGGCTGGGAGGGATGTGGGACTCGTATGCGCGCTCCTTGCGTCGGCGCGAGAATGGTGGCTGTGCGGGGTTTTCGGGCCTTCGTGCGGCTGCGGTTGCGACTCCACCTCTCGGCGCTGAAGCCCCGGATTCCTGGGGCCCAAGCCCTGGCCGCGGTCGCGTACGGGTAATGGCGGCCGCCCCTGCGCTCCGGGAAGTCCCCTGTCTTGTGCGCTTTGGGGCAGGTGGGAGGGGTGCACGCGGGCTCGGAGGTGGCGATCCCGGGCGACGGGAACTGGGGTTAGTTCGCCCGCGGCCCCGCTGCCCTCGCGTCCTTGTGAACAAAACCCACACCCGGGAGCCCGCCAACCTGGGGTGAGCGGGCCTTCAGTCATGCATGTGCTTCGGTTCTGACATTGGAGCCTTAAAGGATGTCGACGATCGTAGGTCCTAACCCGTTCCCTGTGCAGACGAAAGAGACCCAGGGAGGTACTTGGACACGCGACACACTCATGACAGTACATAGAATCCCAGATGTCTTATTATTCATTGCTCTGTCCATTCTCTCTACACCATAAGGGTAAAAGATCAATAATCCCTCTGGCATCTTTTGTCAGAAAGCAGCCTGAAAATGTCTGTGACCTAATAGCTCATGGTACTGATGAAGATTAGATCACAGGACCCAAGTCCCCCGAGTTGTCTGTTTGCTGGTCTCAAACTTTAATGTGCAGAAGAATCACCTTGGGAACCTGTGAAGATTCAAACTCCCGCACCTCGCTCCCAGAGGTTTTCATACTGTGTAGGGCTACGGAGATGCCCACGACCCTACCTTTTTTTCTTCTGACTACCCTCCCCTCACTTTGAGATTAAAAACAAACTGGATCAGTCTCTGACCCGCCGACTTCAAAATGGGTGCTCTTGGTCCAAGGGATACTGGGCAGGAATGTGGATAGAGCAGTATGAAGCTCTCTTTACTCCCTACCATATACATGCACACGCACATACGCACATGCGTGTATACGATTAGCTGTTGGTGGGTCGGTTCCAGCAATGATTAGGAAAAAAAATCAAACGCTAGATAGATACCTGGGCGTTTAGAAAGTTTACTTGATCTAATGTGGAAACTTATAACTTGAAAATCTCTCATTTGGAAGAAGAAAGGAAACTCAGTCCAGCTTTTTAATTTTTCTATTGTGATCGACAAACTCTTGGGTTTCTTATTTGATTTACCAAAACCAAGCCCATTGTCATCAAGTCAATTTTGAGTCATAGCAACCCTGTAGGACAGAGTAGAACTGCCCCATAGGGTTTCCAAGGAGCAGCTGGTGGATTCAAACTGCTAGCCTTTTGGTTAGCAGCCACTTGCTTAACCAGTGTGCCACCAGGGCTCCCATAATTGATGTAGGTTCTTTTTTTTGAGTTTAGAATTTTCAGAAGATTTTCAGAACTATTTTGATAGAGATAGAATGTCAGTGGGTCCAGGTATATAAATCAATAGTGAAAAAATGGATATTTTATCCAGTTTCCTCTTTGCAGAAAGGAATTGAAATATGCTTACTGTGATTGTACTAATATTAAAGTTATGATAGGTTATTTAATGGTTGAAGGAAGGCCCCATTCACTTAGCTGCCCTACAAAGCATTCTTTCTAAACTATCTCTGAAAAACAGGTTTCTCTGGATTTTGATCTGCCATTTTATAAATGCAGCTACAAATTGATATGAGGTGTATCTGGGAAACAATCACTGGTATTGGTTAATCCTGTCAGGAGGCTGCAGCCCAACATAAGTAGGTAAAACCTAGTACCCAAACTGCAGATAAGTTGTATTCCAAGAGCTTGTTTGTAAGTCAGTTGTTTAAAACTGTGACCTGTTTATTTCATAATCTGTAGTTTGTTCCTAGGTCAGACCATAAAAGCCTTTTCTACCTGATACTATAATTTATGTACGAAGTTAATAATTTATAAAATTTAGTGCCCATGACTAACAATCTGCCAGGAAGAAAAATATTTTCAGAGTTCAACCTTGGGATGCCATTCCCAAAAATCATACCCCACCTTCCCTTGCCACCTGCCGCAGCCCCCGGTCGGGCAGTCAGAGTGATGTGCCCCCAGTGTTTGAGCCCTGTTCGGGCCTCTGTTAGCCAAGACGCCATGAGGTTACAGAAAAGGCATGGCCTCTGGGCTTCAAATGGACTTGTGAATGTGGTTAAGTTACTTAACCTCTCTGTACCTTGCGCCTTGCAGAGTTGTGGTAGATTTGAGACAATGAATGTAAAAGCCTGGAGTTTAAGTATTAAATGCTTACTAGGTACAATTAGAGGAGCCCTGGTGGTGCAGTGGTTAAAGCTCTAGGCTGCTAACCAAAAGATCAACGGTTTGAACCCACCAGCTGCTCCGCTAAAGATGTGGCAATCTGCTTCCGTAAAGATTTCAGCCTTGGAAACCCTATGGGGCAGTTCTGTTCTGTGCTATAGGGTCGGTATGAATCGGAATCGATTCAACAGCAGTGGGTTTGGTTGGGGCTTGAAGGTACAATTAGTAATGATACAAATATGAATATCTAAATAATAATACAGTATATTTTTCCAGTTGCCTTCCAGTCAACTCATGACCACCCCATATGTGTCAGAGTAGCAGTGAGCGCATAAGGTTTTCAATGGCTTTTTTTTCGGAAGTAGATCTCCAGGCTTTTCTTTCAAGGCACCTCTGGGTGGACTCAAAACTCCAAACTTTTTAGCTGTGGGTAGATTGGGGCCCTGGTGGCTAAGTGGTTAAGCATTTGGCTGCTAACCAAAAGACTGGCCGTTCAAACCCACCAGCTGCTCCCTGGAAACCCTATGGGACGGTTCTCTGTCCTGTAGGGTCACTATGAGTCGGAATTGACTCGATGGCAATGGGTTTTTGGTTTTTTTTTTTTTTTTTTGTGGATAGATAATACTTTATTGTAGCTAATGTTTGTTACTTTAAGGTAATAAGTAGAACTTTCAAAGTAAGGTATGTCTTAGTAGCTCCGATTGTTATCTCTGAGCAAAGTGTTTACGGGCTGAAGCTCATACTCAGATGCTACCTTTGGCTTTTAGCAGTGTAATGGGCAAGTGGCCTAAACTCTAATTCTCAAATTCTTTAATTGTGAAATTAGGGTAAGTGTGTGATGCAGTGATTAAGCATTCGGCTGCTAAGTGGTAGGTCGGCGGTTCAAACCCACCAGCTGCTCTGCAGGAGAAAGATGTGGCAGTCAGCTTCTGTGAAGATTACAGCCTTAGAAACCCTATGGGGCAGTTCTCTTCTGTCCTGTAGGATCGCTATGAGTCAGAATCGACTTGACAGCAACTTTTTTTTTTCTTTTTGGTGGTGTGCATCTCCCAGAGCCAAAGACGGAGTAAGAGGTGTTAGTTTTAGTTTCGTTATTTGCCCTGGCTGTTACACTGTTGACTCACTCCTAGGAGACTCCCCCCTCTTTGGCAGGAGCAGCTCAACCCCTCAGTCAGGAGCCAGTTGCCATGGTGTTGTAGTGTTCCGTACCTCCTTACCTTTCACCAGATTGCCTGTCCAGCCCCCAGACAAAGGGAGTCAAGGACAGATATGAGATAAGCAGGCTCTTTTCTCTGAGCGTGCCTTCCTGCAGGCTGTTTTAAAAAGGAAACAAAAGTTTTTTTTTTCCTCCAAGAAATTATCTCAGTACAGTCGTTCTCAACCTTGCTAATCTATTGGAATCTCCTGAGGAATTTAAAAACAAGTCTGGATCTCACCCTAGAGATTCTGATTTTGTGTATCCTGGGCATCTGGAAATTTAAAGTTTTGTCGGGTGATTCAGATGTAAGTTTGAGCTCCACAGACCAAGGGAAGAGCAGGAAATGCTCTAGTAATCAAGGATTGAGTGGATGACTTGTAGGTGGCGGGGCAGGCATGGGGAACTTGCTAACTTCCCTTACACCCCCGGGGTCTCTGTATTCCCCCACTTCTCTTTCGTAGTACCTCTCACACTGCATAGCAGATGCTGGCTGCAGGTTTAATTACACGTCTCCTGCTAGACTCCATCTGCAGGCTATGGAAGGACATAGCCATATCGCCTAGCACAAAGTAGGTGCTCAGCAAATGAATAAATGAACGAACAGTGCAGTAAGTAGAGTTTTGTTGTTTCTGGTGGTGTTGAGAGCAGATTCCAAGCCTTTACCCCAGAATTACTGAATTACAATCTCCAAGGCTTGTCCTAGGCGTGTATAGTTTTAAATCTCTACAGGTGATTCTAATGAACACACTTCTTAAGAACACCTGGATTAGAAAGAGTATTAGGAGGAGAGAAAGTGGCAGAAAAGACAGATTGACACCCCAAGGGAAAGGGATTCATTTTGGTTCTTTAAAATATCTAAAGTTTTCTATCCTTTTTTGTACCTGAGTTTGGGAAAATTGGTATCTTAAATGTGGCCCAAGTAGTAAGAAGATGTTAGGGCTGGTCTTTACAGCATGATTTTCTTTCAGTATACACATAATGTCTATCCAAGGCCTGACCACCACTCAAAGGGCACTTCGAAAAGCTGGAGAAACAGTGCTGTGCTCATTTCAGTCATCTTATATCTGTGTGAAAATAAACCAGCATTCAGTAACACTATTATCTTTAAAAATAAAACTTGGTCTTATGTTTGAAATTGGTTGATTTGCTTTTGTTGGTTGACAGTTCTCCGTCCTGTTTCCCCCACTTGGAGACTCGTGAAAAGTTTTTGGCAGCCTCCCTGAGCCCCGGGTACAGGGCTGATATGATAATGGCACGCACTTCTGCTGTGATCATCACAGATGTTGAGGCTAGCACATTTTCTTTCCTCCACCACGATAAAGAACACTCCTGAGCCTCCCTTCACCCTTAGGCTCTTTAACTTCCTCTTTGCCCCACACTCCTGCCAGGCTGAACACTGGCTTGTTCCCATATATGTCCTCCTGGATCTTTTATCATGCTATTTCTGATTCCAGAAATGCCCTCCCCACCACATTCTTTTTTCAGAACTTTACCTATCTTAAATGCTACATTTCCTCTTCCCCAGATACCTCTGCCCAGCCCTGATCGGATCTCTGTGTCTCCTCCAAAGCCTTCTACAAAGTATTCTGCCTTTGTTTCCTTTTCCGACAGTGAGTTCCAGTAAGATTCTAAACTACCTGGTTTTATTTCTGTATTCTAATTAGGCAACCAAAAAAATATTGGATGGTGATAATTAGGAAAAAAAATTGGAATAGGGAAGCAAAACATAGATAGCAAAGTGCAGAGGAAAGTTAGTTTTTTGTTTTTTTTCTTTTTTTTTGCAAAACAGACTCTGGAATGACAAGGAGTGGAAGGAAAGGAAGCTTGGCTCTTAGAAGAGCAATGTGAGTATGGAGTGAAGGATCATTTTACCCAAAGGGCTTGCTTGCCCTTTGTCCCCAGTTCTTAGAAGGTAACCTTTAAATTCTTGGAATTTTCCTGAGTAATGGGGTGTCTGTTATTCATGAGAACTCCAGACCACACCTAAGAGTTTATGCCAGTGAGGTGACTTGTGATGGGGGCTGACCACTACAGAAGTACCCACAAAGACCCACCATGTGTTGTCAGCCTCCTGGGGCGGGGGGGTGGAGGCTGGAGATTGGGTTCCACCATGTGAGTGATCATTCATGCCCATGTAGTGAAACCCCAATAGAATTGAGCACTGAAACTTTGATGCACTTCCGTGAATGACAACACATCCCTGTGCCAGGAGGGTGGCACAGAAGCTTCACATCTGGGGCCCTCCCAGACCTCCCCTTACACGTCTCTCCCTCTGCATCCTTTATGCTGTAAAAACTAAGTGTTTTTCCAAATTCCGTGAGTTGTTGCAGTGAATTACTGAGCCTGAGGGGGTAGTGAGAATTTGTAGCCAGTTGGTGGTCAGAAGTGCAGATGTTCTGCGGACCCCTGAGCTTGTGGATGATGTTCTGAAGGCAGTGAGAACCCTTATGTTTGTAGCCCGCTGGTCAGAAGTGCAGGTGACCCAGGGAGTCCCTGAACTAGCAGCCAGTGTCTGAAGTGCGGGCAGTCTATGGAGGACTGTGCCCTTACCTGTGAAGGTCGCCCTAGCTCCGGGTAGGTAGCATCAGAAGTGAACTGCAATAAGCCAGTGCATGGGCTGCCCTCTGGGCCCCTATAGAGATGCACGCAGCAGAGTCAGCACCACCTGTCTAGAAGCAGAGGCTCAGGACATTTAGCAAGATGGTGGGTGAGGGGATTCCTGCCATTGTACATATTGTCTTCACAGGGCATGTACACAAGCATCTCCTTGATGCTGCAAGGAGGGGACCCCTGAAAATCTCTAGGGCACCAGGAGTAATAAAGCAAGTGGTGGCACTGTATACATTAGTTCTAACATGAGAGGTGTAGGTACCAGTCATCTCTGTGTTGAGAGTTGCCTCATTTTTTTTAGCAAATAAACAAAATACTAATAAGAACTGTAGTTCCAGCCATGTGCCTTAAGCTCCTTCCTCTTCCTCAGTCATTGATCCTTCTCTGAAGATTTACCAACCGAATCCTCTGTGTCTTCTCTCCTACCACACTGTGAGCAAAGCAGGTGCACCAGTAAACATGTTTTCTGAAAGAGACCTGTTTTAGCGGAGTGTATTTATTTGTTGCTATCTTGATCTGAAGCCACCTTAACAAGACACATGAACTCCCCAGAGGAGTAGGGCATTGGCAGGGCCAGTGCTGCACTGTCGCTGCTCAGTGCTTCTTCCTCCTCAGTGTTTGTGTAGATAAACAAGCTTTCAGTTACATCAGGTCTGACTACCACCCAACTCTATCTTGTGTTTTTCCAGAAATCAGTGTTGTTTAAGACTTAATATACTTGCATCGAACACTTGTTTCTGTGTTATTTGTTATTTGAAATTGGCAAAACAGATGAAACCAGAAGAGGAGACAGGACTTCAGTTTTTCAAAAGTATTGTTTCAGTAATTGTTTTGACTAAGGGCGGAGGCAGGGTAGGGAGTATGTCAAAGAAAACAATGGTTGATTTAAATTCATCAAGGGCCGACTAGAAGTAGAGGAGTGCCTCCTTTGGTATCCGCCCTGGCATGCCACAGTGTCCCCTGTGCCCTTGGTCCTGGCACACTGTTGGGGCTGTTGGAGCCTGACGTGGGTGCTGTATGTGCTCTCTGGTGCATGTCTCTAGATAGTCATTCCGGAGCTTCTGGAAGAGCAGCTGAGGAGAAGTCGGTGGGAATGCCTGGTGTGGCTCAGCTAGATGCTGGATCATGGGAGGTCCTGGGTCAAGGAAGGTCAGTGGCAGGGGGAAGGCTCTTAAGATGGTGGCTTAGGGGCGTGGCTATGTAACAGTCAACACAGAAATAATAGTCCAAGAGCCAGTGTGGCCATATCAGGGCGTGTTGGCATTCCTGATTAGAGCCTCCCACAGCTGGCCAGTAAACATAAGCCCTATACCTAGAGTATTCTGTTGGGGTCAAGGTCTTCCTTTAGATTGTTGGGACCAACCTTGTCCTTGGGATCACTACCAAGATGGCTGGAGGTTGAGTAGCTCCTCTAGACATGCTAAGGGTCAGAGTGATGGTTCCAGGGTCTGTGCTTATGAGGCCGATCCTTGCTTTCATTGTGTGGGGGCCTTCAGGGCAGCCTGTACACAGCACTACTGGCCTCCAGCTCAGAGGCATATGCCCATGGGCCTGTGTGGCTGTGGTCGCAACAGGCATCTTGGTGCTTATAGGTGAGCCCTGGGCTGGGTGCTGCAGGGTGTTAAAGTATGAAGACACAGGTTTCGTTTGCTATCCAGCAAAGAAGATACAACTCATGCCGCTTTCTAGGTTGGAGGGCTGAGGCACAGAGCCAAACTCACCCAAGATGCCTGAGAAGGAAGGGCGCTGGAGCTGACCTGTGTGTGTAATAGGGCAGTTTTGTCAAGGTTGTACTGCTAAGTAATTTTACTTTGGGGCGGGGTGTTTTCTTCCAGCACCTCAGTGACCTCTGCGAAAGTGGCCGTGAATGGTGTTCACCTGCACTATCAGCGGACTGGAGAGGGAGACCACGCAGTGCTGCTGCTGCCTGGGATGCTAGGTCAGGATGCTTTCTGAGGGAATGCACTCACCATGCTAGACGCCAAATTCTGATGATTGATTCTAGTGACTTGCTGAAATGCTTTAAATAGTATTTACTACAATCAAATTTAAGTGATTTAAGAAAATAGATAGCTTTCTACACTGTGTTTTTTTTTTTCCCTTTAAGTACCCGGTTTTCCCCATATAATGTCGTGAAGCCACAATTGCCTACAATATGGGGGATGAAAGGGGCAGGGAGAGGGGTGTGGGAAGATGGAGGTGGATAAAGAAAGAAGGTGAGGTGGATGGAGTTCCCAGGATTTGGGGCTTCCAGTGCTAAAACCGGGATGAATGGATTACCTACGTGTGGTTGACTAATTGTTTAATTAAATGGGAGCTAAGAATAATGTTTTAATTAAAATGGGAGCTAAGAATAAAAGCTTAAACCCTTTTTGAAAATCAAAATTAGACTAGCATATTATTCTGTATTGGTGTGTGGGCATAGTAAAGCCCACTGGATCATAGTCTCACTTTACAGGCAGAAGTTTAAATGTAAGAAGTCCAGGGAAAAGTTTCTGGTGGTCTCAAACATCCCAGCTTTGGTTTGAAGAGTTTTAGTGTGGTTGTTTTATGTTCAGTTTAATTAACTAGCCCCAATATATGCTTACTTCTTATGGTTTGCTTCTGTCTTCTAAAAGTAAAACGGTAAAAATTTCCAATGAGCTGATGGTTTCGGTTAGCTGAGCCGCCTCTGATTGGGGTTTTAGTTTACTTTTGGCACGATCCTAACTTAGTGGAGGCATCTTTTCCTAGATAGATTTTATTACCTTTTTTTTTTTAAAGCTGTTATAATGAAGGAGAGCATTTACTCCAATGGCTGAAGTAGAGCTAAAATTATCTATAAAAAATAAATAACAACTTGCCAGCTTAGATTTCCATTGTTTCAGTATTCCAATTATTAGCCAAGTGTGAAAAAAATTTTTTTTTAAGTTTTTCATTTAATTTTTGTTTATGTAAAACATTAACATGATTCAAAATTCAGAAACTGTACTAGTGAGCTTCTCTCTCCCAGGCCCTGCCCCCAGCACCTGGTCCCCTTCTGCAGGCAGCCAGCCCTGGTGTTGGTGTTTCCTTCTCAGGTGTCATGGACTGGTGACTAGCTACATATTAATCCCTAAGCCTATCTTTAGCTTCTGGTATTCCGGGCACTGGTATTCCTGGTCTTCAGATGTATACATGTGTGCCAGAAAGCAAATACCTCACTATTTCTGAAATTGAGCTTGAGTTGGACTGTTCCCTTTTCCCAGTTCTCACCACTACCCCTCATCCAGACCCACAGGCCAGGTGGGATAAGAGCCGCTGTGGCAGTCCCTCTCGCTCAGGGACCGCGGAGAAGCCGTGTGAGCCAGAGCAGTACACGTGGGCTTGAAATCCACTTGTTTGATTTTGGCTTCGGCTTTCTGAATTAGTTAACTGATCTTAAGAAAGGTGTATCTTGCCAGGAAGAATGATGAATCTTGATAATATTAAATGATCCTGTACCATCTTGAAAGACATTTTCCAATATAGCTAGTTTATCAGACAAGGTGTGACCTGAGCTACGAGTTCTCAGAAATTGAACACATTTTAAAAATGCAACGCTTACTTGCCCGTAGATCTGACTTCTCCGAGACCTGGCCGCCTCCACTGAGTGCAGTGGGTGTGAGCATCACCGCAGCCCGAGAGGTCTGAGCTGCACACAGTGGCTGTGACTGCATGGGTGGCCAGGGAAGCCCACCATAGGCTCAAGAATATAGTGCCACTTGTGGGCATACACTGTTATGTAGTTTTCATGAAACAAACTAATCAGATATATTCCCTCCTCCCGTATTAGTGTTTTAGCTTAGTTTTCTGGTTGCTAATTATAGCCAGAAAATAAAACTTCAGGACTGTTCACACTGGCCTAGTAAACCACATCTGGAATTTTAGAATTTTACTTTCTATAACTGGATCAAATCTCATAAATTTGTCTATAGATATTAATTACCAAACTATCATTTATAACAGCCATTTATAAAGAAAGAAAGATAACCTAGAAGTATATCATATCTGTAAGTCTATTCCTATACGTTTGTTTTTAAAAACAAACAAAACAAAACAGATTAAGATGAAGAGGTATTGAATCAGGGCTCTGTCCTCAGAATGGCCACTGGGTGGTGACAGGAGGCCAGGGAAGGAAGAAGCCTGCCTCCCAGCTATGAGTTGGATCTTGGCCAGGCAGTTGTCTTATTGGAAACCCTGGTGGTGTAGTGGTTGAGTGCTACAGCTGCTAACCAAAAGGTAAGTGGTTCAAATCCACTAGGCACTCCTTGGAAATTCTATGGGGCAGTTCTATTCTATCCTACAGGGTTACTATGAGTTGACTCGATGGCAGTGGTTTTGGTTCTCCTGTTGACATTCTGAGGGCTACGGTAGAGTAGAAACTAGTTTGTTTTAAGAATATTATGGTTTCTGTTTTTACTGGATTGTGTTAGAAACAATGAAAGCGTTCATGGGCTCTTTTTAGGAAGTGGAGAGACTGATTTTGGACCGCAGCTTAAGAACCTGAATAAGAAGCACTTCACGGTGGTCGCCTGGGATCCTAGAGGATATGGACATTCCAGACCCCCAAATCGAGATTTTCCGATAGACTTTTTTGAACGGGATGCAAAAGATGCTGTTGATTTGATGAAGGTAGGTCTTAGGAAAGGGGCTGGGGGCCAGAGGCTGGCTGGGCCTGTCTTCAATTATTTTGTTTAATTTTTACTATTTTTAGTTTCTACAAAGATAATACCCCATGCTTCCTACAGAAAATTCAGAGAGTTCAAATAGGTATAAAGAATAAAGTAGAAATTTCTCTCAATCCTACAGTCTATAGAGATACCGCTACCAAGACTTTGAGGCTCTGCCTTCCAGGCCAGTCTCACCCGTACATAAAGACACAGTTTTGTATAGATGGCATCATACTATGCATAATGTTTTTCCAACCTACTATTTTCATTGAACAATTTTTCAGGGAGATACTTCCAGGTCAATAAATATAAATTTACGTAAGTCTAATAACGGGTGCCTAGTATTCAATTGCATGGATGTCCTACAGTGTAGTATTTCACCTAGCTTCTGAGGGTAGACAATTAACTTTATTTTTCAAGTTGTTTTGTTTTGTGATTATTAACATTAGTGCCGTGAGCATGTCCATGGATGTTTTAGCTGTTCCCATTTTTTGCTGTTACAAACAATGCTCCTGTGGACATCCTGGACATATCTCCTAGTACACATGTGCAAGAGTGTCATAAGATTTAGCAAATGACTTGCTAGGTTTAGGAGATGCAAATGTTCATTTTTACAAGATAATGCTAAATTATTATTCATGGTATTCCTATCAGCAAATATCTTGAACCGATATTTGTTAATTCCTTGCCATTAATTTTCACATTCATTCTGTTTTTATTTCTGTGCAGCATCTCTCAGATTGAATCTTTGTTCATTTTCCCTGCCAACCACATTTTTCTAGACCCTGATTGATTTACCCTAGGACTAACATGACCTCCTCATAATACCTTTCTCTCCAGCCTGTCTCTAGCCAATGCTTCCTACAGTTGCAGTCGGTGGGGTTACCCAGATGCAGTTATTTTATTTCCTCCAGCAAATCTCCAGTTCCCCTCTCTAATATACATACTGATGTGCTTGCATCCTGCCAGACTGTTCTCAGAGTCCTTGCTTAAGTATGCACATACATGTACACATTGTGTTTGTCTTATCCATAATGCCTGGTCTGTATTGTTTCTAATTCCTGGAGATTTTCTCCAACCAGAGATATAGCTGTTTCATAGTTCAGAGCAACACTGTGTACTCAGGGTTTTATGATACTTACATTTACACTAAAACTGATTATGAGGAAATATTATGTGATCAAATGGCAGACTCTAGGATTTTTTTTTTCCTTTGTGTACTTTACTGCGTTTGTTACAGACACTGAAGTTTCCGAAGGTTTCTCTTCTGGGATGGAGCGATGGGGGGATAACAGCACTTATCGCAGCTGCAAAATATCAATCTTACATCAGCAAGATGGTGATCTGGGGGGCCAATGCCTACGTCACCAGTGAGGATGAAGTCATCTACCAGGGTAGGTCCAGGAACTGGCTGTGACACGACCACCAGGGCCCTTCCCTGTCCTTTCCCCTTGCATCTGCTAATTAATATATGATAGACAGTCACATGTCCCTGCTTCCAGCTCCCGCTGTACCAGGAGAAGAATAACGGATTCTCAGAAAAGTAATGCAGTTTGACCAGCCTGTGTTTTAAAGCTTTCTATTTCTAGGACTGAAACTTTTATGACTCGGAAAAAGGCTAAGTAAAATCAGTGTTTACATTTCTACTGATAGTAAACTTCAAGGAAGAGGGGGTTGATGGGCAGTGTTGTTAATAAGCTCATTTAAGATAGTAGGACAGTGTAAACGGGAGTATGGTGTTCCAGTATGAAACCTTACATTTCGATTCAAAGAATTTCTGTTCCACTTGCAGTTTGTAAGGTTGTCCTTCAAGCTTATCTTTGAGGTTTGTTTGTTTTTTTAAATTGTATTTTAGGTGAAAGTTTACAGTGCAAATTAGTTTCTCATTCAAAAATTTATACACAAATTGTTTTGTGATATTGGTTGCAATCTCCCCGATGTGTCAGCACTCTCCCCTTTTACCTTTCCACCCTGAGTCCATTCATCCAATCTTCCTGTCCCTTCCTGCCTTCTCGTCCTTGCTGTTAGGCAGGTGTTGCCCATTTGATCTCATATACTTGATGGAACTAAGAAGCACGTTCCTCAGTGTGTTATTGTTTATTTTATAGGCCTGCCTAATCTTTGGCTGAAAGGTGGAGTTTGGGAGTGACTTCAGTGCTGAGTTAGCAGGGTGTCTGGGGGCCATAGTCTCGGGGGTTCCTCTAGTCTCTGTCAGGCCAGTAAATCTGCTCTTTTTTGTGTGAATTTGAATTTTGTTCTACATTTTTTTCCTGCTCTGTCTGGAACCCTCTATTGTGATCCCTGTCAGAGTGGTCATTGGTGGTAGCCTGGCACCATCTAATTCTGGGCTCAGGCTGGTGGAGGCTTTGGTACTTGTGGTCTGTTAGTCTTTTGGACTAAATTTTCCTTGTATCTTTGGTTTTCTTCATTCTCCTTTGCTCCAGACAGTGTGAGGCCAATAGATATTTCTTAGATGGCCATTCGTAAGCTTTTAAGACCCCAGACGCTGCTCACCAAAGTAGGATGTAGAACATTTTCTTTGTGAACTATGTTATGCCAATTGACCTAGATGTCCCCTTACACCATAGTCCCCAGCCCTCAGCCCCAGTAACTCAGTCCGTCAAGGTGTTTAGATGTGTGCCTAGGAAGCTTCTATAGTTTTGCCTTAGTCAAGCTGTGCTGACTTCCCATATATTATGTGTTGTCTTTCCTTTCACCAGAGTTAAAACTTGCTTATTATCTAATTAGTGATTTCCCCTCCCACCCTTCCCTCGTAACCATCAAAGATTGTTTTCCTGTGTGTTAACTTTTTCTTGGGTTGTTATAATAGTAAACTCATACAATATTTGTCCTTTTGTGATTGACTTATTTCACTCAGCATAATGCCCTGCAGTAAGATGTTTCGAGGATTCATCACTGTTCTTTATCGTTGTGTACTATTCATTGTGTGCATGTACCATAATTTGTTTATCCATTCATCTGTTGATGGGCATTGTCTTAGTTATCTAGTGTTGCTATAACAGAAATACCACAAGTGGATGGCTTCAACAAACAGAAGTTTGTTCTCTTACAGTCTAGTAGGCTGGAAGTCCAGATTCAGGGCATCAGTTCCAGGGGAAAGCTTTCTGTCTTCTGTTGGCTCTGGATGAAGGTCCTTGTCATCAGTCTTCCCCTGGTCTAGCAGCTTCTCAGCACAGGACCCCAGATCCAAAGGACATGCTATCCTCTTGGCTCTTGTTTCTTGGTGCTATGAGGTCCCCCTGTCTCTTTGCTCACTTCTCTTTTTTATATCTCAAAAGAGATTGACTGAACATACAGCCTTATCTTGTAGATTGAGTCCTACCTTGTTAACATAACAGTTTCTAATCCCACCTCATTAACATCATAGAGGTAGGATTTACAACACTTAGGAAAATCACATCAGATGACAAAATGGTGGACAGTCACACAATACTGGAAATGGTGGCCTGACCAAGTTGATACACATTTTTGGGGGACACAGTTCAATCCACAACAAGCATTTAGATTGTTTCCATCTTTTTGCAATTGTGAATAATGCTACAGTGAACATGGATGTGCATATGTCTATTTGTGTAATGGCTCTTATTTCTCTAGGATATATTCCTAGGAGTGGGATTGCTGGATCATATGGTATTTCCATTTCTAGCTTTTTAAGGAGGTGCCATATTGTTTTCCATAGTGGTTGTACCATTTTACGTTCCCACTGGCAGTGCGTAAGAGTTCCAATCTGCCTGCAACCTCTTCAGCATTTGTTATTTTATGTTTTTTTGATTAGTGCCAGTAATGTCAGGGTGAGATGATATCTCATTGTAGTTTGATTTGCATTTCTCCATTGGTTAGTGATTTCGAGCATTTCTTCGTGTGTCTGTTAGCCGCCTGAGTGTCTTCTTTGGTGAAGTATCTGTCATATCATTTGCCCGTTTTTTAATTGGATTATTTGTCTTTTTGTTGTTGAAGTGTTGAAGTAGATTTTAGAGATTAGACACTTGTCTAGTATGTTATAGCCAAAAATTTTTTCCCAGTCTGTAGGTTCTCTTCTTACTGTTTTGGTGGTCTTTTGATGAGCATGAGTATTTAATTTTTAGGAGCTCCCAATTATCTAGTTTATCTTCTGGTGTTTGTGCATTGTTAGTTACGGTTTGTATTGTATTTATATTAGGGCCCTTAGTGTTGTCCCTATTTTTTCTTCTGTAGTCTTTATTGTTTTAGGTTTTATATTTAGGTCTTTGATCCATTTTGAGTTAGTTTTTGTGTATGGTGTGAGGTATGGGTCATGTTTCATTTTTTTTGAAGAGGGACATCCAGTTTTGTCAGCAACATTTGTTAAAAAGACCATCTTTTCCTTATTTAATGGACTTTGGTCCTTTGTCAAAATCAGCTGGCCATAGGTAGATAGATTTATGTCTGGTTCTTGATTCTGTTGCTTTGGTCTATGTGTCTGTCGTTATACCAGTACCAGGCTGTTTTGACTACTGTGGCTGTGTAGTAGGTTCTGAGACCAGCTACTGTGAGGCCTCTTAATGTTCTTTTTCTTCAGTAATGCTTTGCTTATCTGAGGTCTCTTTCCTGGCCATATAAAGTTGGTGATTAGTTTTTCCATCTCGTTAAAGAATACTGTTGGTGTTTGAATCAGCATTGCATCATATCTGTAGCTTGCTTTGGGTAGAACTGACATTTTCACAGTGTTGCATCTTCCTATCTATGAGCATGGTATGTTTTTCCATTTATATAGGTCTTGTCGTGGATTGAATTTTGTCCCCCAAAAATGTCCGTCAACTTGGCTAGGTCATGATTCCCAGTATTGTATGATTGTGTACCTTCTTGTAATCTGATGTGATTTCCCTGTGTGTTGTAAACTCTATCACTATGACGTAACAAGATGGATTAGTGGCAGTTATACTGATGAGGTATACAAGATTGGGTAGTGTCTTAAGGCAATCTCGTTTGAGATATAAAAGAGAGAAGCGAGCAGAGACACATGGGAACCTCATATCACCAAGAAAGCAGTGTCGGGAGCAGAGGGTGTCCTTTGGACCTGAGGTTCCTGCGCAGAGATGCTCCCAGAACAAGGGAAGACTGACAACAAAGACCTTCCTCCAGAGCCAACAGAGAAAGCCTTTCCCTGGAGCTGACGCCCTGAATTTGGACTTGTAACCTACTAGACTGTGAGAGAGTAAACTTCTCTTTGTTAAAGCCATCCACTTGTGGTATTTCTGTTAGAGCAGCACTAGATGACCAAGACAGGTCTCTTGATTTCTTCCAATAGTAGTTTTCTTTCTATAGGTCATTTACATCTCTGGTTAGATTTATCCCTTTGTATTTTATCTTTTAGGGGCTATTATAAATGGGATTGTTTTCCTGATTTCCTTTTCGAAGTTCTCATTGTTCATGTATAGGAATCCAACTGATTTTTATATGTTGACCTTTTATCCTGCTACTCTGCTAAATCTTTCTATTAGTTCCACTAGTTTTCTTGTGGAATTCTTGGCGTTCTCTATGTATAGTATCATATCATCTGTGCATAGGAATAATTTTACTTCCTCCTTTCTGTCATGGATTGAATTATGTCCCCCCAAAAATGTGTGTATCAGTTTGGCTAGGCCATGATTCCTGGTATTGTATGATTTTCCTATGTGTTGTAAATCCTGCCTCTATGATATTAATGAGGGAGGATGGGCAGCAGTTGTGTTAGTGAGACAGGACTCAATCTACAGGATTGGATTGTGTCTTGAGGCAATCTGTTGAGATATAGAAGAGAGAAGCAAGCAGAGAGACAGGGGACCTCATAACCCCAAGAAAGCAGTGCCGGGAGCAGAGTGTGTCCTTTGGACCCAAGGTCCCTGTGCGGAGAAGCTCCTAGTCCAGGGGAAGATTGATGAGAAGGCTGACAGAGAGAGAAAGCCTTCCCCCAGAGCTGATGCCCTGAATTTGGACTTTTAGCCTACTTTACTGTGAGGAAATAAGCTTCTCTTTGTTAAAGCCATCCACTTGTGGTATTTCTGTTAT